AAAGAGAGAGAGAGAGAGAGAGAGAGAGAGATTAGGTGTTGGCACCACGAGTATTTGAGTAAGCTACGAAAGCAAGGTGAATTAGAAACTTAAGAATAAAAATAATAATATAAGAATAAGAATAATAGTGTTTGGGATCGTGTAAAAGAGCAATAAGAAGATAGTTTAGTAATAGGTGGTAGTGGTGGTAATTGTGAGGGGGTGGGGGGTGGTAATACGAATAAGTTCGTGGAAGAAGAAACGAGACGAAAAAAGATTAAACTACTATAGAGGTTTTTTGTTTCGGTGAGAGTCGCGTGAAAAGAAAATCAAAGGCTGACTGGTGGCCCTTGGCTTTGATATTATTATTATTATTATTATTAATCTTGTTTTTTTTATTTCTTTGTTGCCCTCCTTTGTCCTCAGCACACATATTCTATATACATCTATTCTTAATCTTCTCCCTTTTCCACCCCTTTTTTTTACTCCTTTCTATCAGCACTCTCTCTATCACTCTCACTCTCTCTCTCTCTCTCACTCTCTCTCTCTCTCTCTTATCTTTTTTTCATAATTTTTAGAGAAATAAAGGTTTTCCGATAAAGAAGAAGAGAGTAAGAGACACGATAAGAACAATGATAAAACGAATTTGACGAGGAGACAACAACGACGATGACGAAGATGACGAAGATGACGATGACGACAACGAGGCACATAGAAGGCTATTGCTCTCAATATTATTTTTCCTTTTCTTTCATTCGCACTAACATGGACATGTATGCGCATGTAGATATATATATATATATATATTTATTTATTATTAATTTATACTTACTTATTCTCTCTTTATTTTAATATTTATATATGCACATATTTAAATTATTTATAAACGAAAGTGAGATCTGCACATATTTGTATTAATTGTAATCAGAAAAAAAGCTGTGAAAACTGCCTATTATATAGCTTATATAAGAGCCCAAATAATTAATCTAATTTTGTATAAATTGTAGATTTTCTGTTTCTTACCGATACATATATCTGGTATATAATTATTTTTTTACACCATTAGAGTAAATATATAAATACTTAGATACGCTAAATTGACATATACACATATAGAAATATATAACGTTTCTGTGTATATCATGTGATTAATATTAATAAGTATTAATGCGAAATAGATATTTAAAATTCGTTGGCTAATTCTAATCAAACGTCTAAATACTCATACGTAATTTATATTTTCTATGTAAATAAATAACTCAATTCTAATAATTATGATATTCTTTTTTTATTATTAAAAACCTTTTTAAATAAATAATAATAAAACGAATTTAAAATATTTAAAAGAATTTATATATATAAAAAGAAGTTAGAATATGATTATAATACAATACACCGAACCCTTGATTTATACGATAGATTGGTTCTACGAAAATGCCGTGGAAATTGAAATTATGCAATTTGAATCTAAATTTCACATCAACAAAATATATACATATCTAATAAATTTCAGAAATAAATATGAAGCACCACTATTTATTTTTGATAAAAAATATAGTACATATAATTCAATAAAAATTCATTAATTCAACAAGATAACGTACACAACATAATTTGCAGAAAAATTAGGGGTTGTAATGTTGCAAAAAGAAAATCCAATGTAATTATTATATTTATCTGATCGTATTTAATTAAAATGCAATGGCGTGTAAATGGAAGTTCTTTCGCAGTTTTTCAACCACGCTAATCCAAAATCATATACAGGTAACCCCCAAAGAACACGGTACTTAAATAACATAAGTTTCGAGGAACACGAATACTTTCCTCTGGATTACACGGTTTCAAACTACACGATTTTCGAGTAATTCTTTTTAAAAAGAATAAAATACATATATTATTTGATATAAAATTATTACCAAATATGTTATTTCTTTTTTTTTTTATTTTTACACTTGAAACGGAATCCCGTGTTTTGTAGTCTCAAACAGCACAGTTTCAAAGAGAACACAGAACCAATTAATTGTGTTCTTTAGACATTATCTGTAATTTAAATAATTAATAAATCGAAAGTTAAGTAAATAAATATAAATACCTACCCTTAGAAATTGCCCGGCTAGCTCAGTCGGTAGAGCATGAGACTCTTAATCTCAGGGTCGTGGGTTCGAGCCCCACGTTGGGCGAATATTTTTTTAAGTAAAACTTTTTTTGGGGAAGGGTATTATTTCTGAAATCATTTCCATTGGATTTACCGAATATACAATACAAATTTTTAATTAATATATTTTTTACAAATTATTTGCCCTACCGTATTTTTTCTAAACATACCTCATGTAAAATATAATTTACATAACTACCAGGAATGAATTAAAAACATTTATATGCCAAAGTATATTATGTGTGTGTACAAATACTTTTAATAATTTTAGTTTTCAAGTATAGTGTAAATGTGTAAATAGAAATAATTAATTGTCTAATATTTCAATGAAGCTACAAAAAAAAACATAAAGAACCTAAGAAACTCAATTTATATTTTTGATTTATAAAATTATTATGTCTAAGAAAAAAAAAATATTACTAGCAGAGCATGGTTTCGATCCACGGACCTCTGGGTTATGGGCCCAGCACGCTTCCACTGCGCCACTCTGCTGTTGAGTAAATGATCTCTAAATACCTAATTTTTGTTACTATCATTTTACAATACATAGAAATATTTATATTATAATTTAAAACAAATATAAATAACAATAAATAAGAACAAAAATATTTTTATATTTTCCTATAATTATTAAAAAAAGATAGAGTGAATAAGTATAATCTTCCTACATTTAATTGATTTTTTAGAACGAATGCCATCTAGTAATGAAACATTGTAATTAATTCAGTAATCTTCTTTACCTATATAAATTATACGTCTACATATGGTAAGGAAGTTTTCTGTATTCTTTGGCAGAAAGTCTACATATCAAAAAGAAATAAATTTTTTCTCAATATAACTTTATTTATAATATTATATATTTTATATAACAATTGAGAGTATATACATATATACTTTTTCGAAAAAAATCCATTCGTAGTTCAGAATATTTTGTTTCTAAGGAATAACGCATAAATTTAATTGAATTATTCCTGAATACAAAAAATTATAGAGGAAAATTAGCACGCATCGAATGCTTTAATAAATTAAATCCATTGTATTAAAGATAATTAATAATTATTGGAAAATATGTCGAAAGTTATAGAATAGTATTCGATCGTAAAATAAATGCTATTTGACTCGCGTAGTATCGCCTAACTGTTCTCAAGTATAATGTGTACGTGGGTATGTATGTGTTCTACCTTTCTTTCTTCATCCATCTTTCTCATGGTACATGCGACCGCACACATATGCATTTAACAAAATAACATATACAAATATCATACAGCTAACTTCCCTCTTACTCGTTTACCACGTGCACATATTTATAGATGTGTGTGTGTGTGTTTGTATGTATGATGGGACATGAAGATGGAAACATATGACGCAATCGATGACACATATCGACTGCGGAATTTTATTTTCAAAAATGAAATAATAGAAGTATCAATTTTTACGTTAATATTTTATACGATTGGCTAAAATAAAAACAAAAAAGAAGAAAAGAAAAAAAAAAAGAAAATATATATCATTTCTGTGTATACGCGACACTCGAAAGATGAAACTACAAGTTCTCTTATCCCACTTGTGTGTGAAACGAAAGTCGCCAGCTGGCAACGCTATTTTGAACGTTTTGCGACGTTGCCGATAATCAAATTGAACAAGTTCAAACGTGTGCCCCGCGTTATTTAGCTCTTGGAAAAGAGATATGGTAGTTGAGCGTATCATTGATACAAGAGAACGTGTTTTTTAAATATTTCTTACATATATAATTGGTATGGGAATTTACAGGAAAAATAAACTTGGTAATATCATTTTTTGTTTACCACGTTTCTTATCGGAATACTTTGTCCTTCGATCGCTAATTTCAAAAATATGTAATCTTATTATTCTTGCGCTGCGAATGGCGCACATATCGCTTCTATAATATATTTCCTTAATATCTTTATTCTATTCGTATGCATCTTTCTATACAGAAAAAGAAACAAGGAAATAAAATATCGAATGAAAAGAAACAACAATCCTAAGGAAAGGTAATTTAACGAATAATCATAAATTAATCCACATATATATATATATATATAGAGCTGTAGAGGTAGAAAAGCTATAAGTGGTATCGGTTGTGTTGGGTGGTGATATCGTCTGGACAATTTTGCTAACAACAGCCGAATCACCGTTGTTACATCCCATAGCTGGACAAGAAGTAAGTATACTTAGTTTCGACTAGCAAGGAAAAGGTCTGACAACGTTGCAACTGCGTGAGACGATATGCGCGGCACGAATAGCAGCGACGTGTGAGCCCCAGCGTGGTTGTGTTGCGACGTTTGAGGTGGGGCGGGATGGTGAGTGGATGACGGAGATGTATAGAGGAGTGAGAGGAAAGATAAAAGTTTCCACGGTGGTGGGGTGTAGTAGTCGAGCGAGCAGCTATGCAGGGAGGATTGCATGTATTGCGTTGTGTACGTGTGTGCTTAGTGATTGTAGGGCAACTCAATTCTATGATACGAATGTATGTATGCGTGATATTGTGTGTATTTATGCATATACAGTAATCGCGTCGATACGTCACTAAGAGGGGAAGCTCCTCTGCCGGCGACGGCGAGTTAACAGAAATTTTCGTAGGAGTTTGTTGGAGAGTTGTATCTAGTTCCCTTTTTAAACCCAGAGCGCGCTCAAACGAAGGTCCACAATTGTGTAAAACTATCATCATCGCATTTACCGTATAAGGTTTATATTCTTCGACGTTAAAAACATGACGTCGTCGCACAGTTGTAAATACTTACTTACGTGCGTTTGAATCTTTGTCAGGAAGGAAGAGTTCGTCATTGGGTAAATCCCATCCGTCGAAAACGATTGAGAATCGATTTATTGCGGAAACAACTATTTATTAATTTCTGCGTCCTATATATCTCTTCGTTCGTTTGAATTCGTTGAATTGCTATCAGTATCCTTATATCATTATTTATAAATATATCAATATTTATATATATTAGCAACGATGAATCATGAATATAAATATTTTAGTTTTCGTTAACGAGAATGTCATGTATGTATATATATAGATATTCGTTCGATCAAATAAACATTGATCTCGTAAGGTTCAAATTTAATTGGTAGAGAAAATTTCAAAGTCCAATAGTTAAGAATTAGCTTTTCGATAAAGTCGAAATCCTTCTCGTAAAATCGAAACTGTTATATCCTTCGAGTCGGTTTTAAATGGATTTCGAATTCTTGTAAAAGAACGCGTTACATTTGTATTATAATTTAAAATGTTATGAATTTTATTAGAAATTATATACACAAATATTCGATCGAATAAATTATCGGAATTTTTTTCCCAAAAAATATTGTTATTAAAATAAAAATATATATATATACGGCTAAGAGGTATATAGAGGTTTTTTTTTTTTGAAAATATTCGAGCATATAGAAAGTTGGTAAGATAAAAGAGAGTAACGGCGCGATTCCAATGAATATATGCGCTAGTGTTTCTCAGTCAGTGAAATCAGCGTAGAAGGAAAGAGAGAGAGAAAGAGGTAAAGAGAAAAGGGGAGTTCCCCTTCTACGAAGTCCTATCCCCACTACTCGACACACCGAGGTTGCCACTGCTATTCTTTGCGGGGCCATGGTTGCGCGAGTGTGCGTGCGTCTGTTGAACTACGTGCGACCAGCCCAGTGCTGTTAGTAATGTAAGCTTTTCGTTCTCGTATACGTGTCGAAATAAAGAAAGAAAGAGAGAGAGAGAGAGAGAGAGAGTAAGAGAGAAAGACAGAGAGAGAGAGAGAGAGAGAACGAGAGAGCGAGAAAGAGCGCGCATTAGAGCTCTAGTAATCGCGTAAAGTATTCCTTCGTTAATTTGGTTAACCATCATGCCGTTAAGTATCGGAGTTAATTTAAGAGTGACCGGCCACTGTAATCAAGGCGGTCGTAAGTACATGGAGGACATGTTCAGTGTAGCCTATCAACAGACACCGGACGACAAGGATTTGGAATACGCCTTCTTTGGCATTTTTGACGGCCATGGGGGCGGTGAGGCAGCGGCATTTGCTAAGGAACATCTTATGGATATTATCGTTAAGCAAAAAAATTTTTGGAGTGATCGAGACGAGGATGTTCTTAGAGCAATCAGAGACGGATACGTGAATACACATTATGCGATGTGGCGGGAGCTTGGTAATGAACAGTCAACAATATTTATATACCTTTTTTTATCTTTCCTCTCTATCTCTTTTTCTTTCTCCTTCTTGTTTGTTTGTTTGCCTCTGTCTCTCTTTGTATTTTTCCTTTCTTTTCTCTTTCTCCTTGGAACAATGATTACATTCGATCGTGATAAATGTCTCAACGACGAAGAATTAAACTTATAACTCGTTTCTTTTTTTTTTTTCTTTTCCCTTTATTTTTTTTTTTTTTTTAATAATTTATTCGTTGGCCCGCGTATTTCCCCTACCCATCTTCTGATTACGTTAGAACTTAGGTTATGTAACTCGTGTTAACCTAAAACTGTCTGATTTAATCGGATTTCAAGTGTATCAGAAAATTATACGCATTCATTATATTATTATTAGAATGAAGTTTCATTCATCGCGTTTCTTGTATTAATATTTATATTGTTAAGTCCAATTTACATATAAAAATATATGTATATGTATATATTAAATATACGTAAATATATATATATATATATATATATATATTTATATATATGGTCAAAGTTTGGTCCTGAGAAACGAAATATTTATAAAAACAATGAATGCCTTTAGAGTAAAATAGTATGTTTTACATTTTTTTATTATTTCTTTTTCTCTTTTTATCAAGGAATGAATATTTTTCTTAAATTGCCTTTTCATTCAAAAATATCGCCTTTAAGTTTAATGTCAGCCTTCCTATATTCTTGGCTATTAGTTTTTCGAATTTTTCTAATTAAATATTTTTCCATGCTTCTTGTGGAAGTTGTCAAAGATATCCAAGTAAAAATTCATTCCTTGTTTATGGAATTAACACAATCTGTCAATATTTTATATAATAATGATAGATAATTTCAAAATTTATCAGTATATACGATTTTTACGTGATTCTAAACTTTTTATCTTTAGTTTATATATAAATGTGAACCTTTTTCTCTAAATGCATACTCTAGTAAAAATCCTACTTTTTTAACAGATAAATGGCCAAGAACAGCATCCGGATTACCATCTACTGCTGGCACTACAGCAAGTATAGCTTTTATAAGAAAAGGAAAAATTTACATTGGGCACGTAGGTGATTCTGGAATAATATTGGGATATCAACCAGATGGAGATCCGCAGTGGCGTGCTAAAGCATTGACTAAAGATCATAAGCCTGAAAGTGGTCCAGAAATGATCCGCATACAGGAGTCTGGCGGAAAAGTTGTTAGCAAATCAGGTGTTCCAAGAGTCGTTTGGAATAGACCACGAATAGGACATAAAGGTCCTGTTAGAAGATCAACTCATATAGATGAAATACCATTTCTAGCTGTGGCCAGATCTTTAGGTACATGATTCCAATCGTTTATAGTAACGCAGACATGAAAAGAAGATTGGAGTTGTTATTTATAAAGGATTGTGATAATCTGGTAGAGAAAACAATATATTCTATGATTCATAGGTGATCTTTGGAGTTACAATTCAGAACTAGATACATTTATAGTGTCTCCAGAACCAGATGTTAAGGTTGTTACAGTTGATGTTAGGTCATACCGATGTCTTATTTTTGGAACAGACGGTTTATGGAATATGTTGACTTCCCAAGCAGCCGTAGCTATTGTTCAGGCTGCTGAAATGCACAATGAAAAACATATTATAGCTTCTCAACAGACTGGCAATGGGGTATGTAGTAAAATTAAATGAAAATTCCAAAAATACCTTAAATAAATATGTATATTTATTTGATAGCAGGCTGATGTGCAAATGTGGATAAATCCATCTAAAAGTTTGGTAGATAGAGCATTGGAAAGGTGGTCATCAACAAGATTACGGGCTGATAATACAAGCGTTGTAACTGTTATGTTAGATCCTCCAGGACCTTCTCGTAGCGAGGTAAAGATCCTGTTTTGTTTTCTTTAAAACATGATATTTCATGATTTTATGGAAAGTTCTTTTATTGATATATTTGATGTATTTCTTTTTAAAGGTATTGTTGAGTCAAAAGAAAGAACTCTCATCAAAAAGTATAATACATCATCATCAAGGAGTTCAACCTCTCGATCCAACTATTTTTAACGAAAATATTGAAAAGCCTATATCAGATACTGCCGCCTCATCTGTGTTAAGTCACGCGACACCAAATGATGATTCAGATATAAGTGGTTTAAAGCAACCAGATTCTTCTGATGAAATTAATGAAAATTTAGATAAATCTACAAAATTTGAGAGTAATTCATATGTCGAGAAATTAATTTTAAACGTAGATACCTGTGATGTCGATAAAATTTTATCGACAAGAGAAACTGAGAATAAAATATCTAATATGGAAGGTATTATTCAAGTAGCTGAAATCTCATCTTCAGATATATCTGAGGAAATAGAATATATGGAATCGAAGGAATCCAAAACTTCTAATAAGACTGAAAATTTAAACAAATTGGATAGCGATGAAAAAATAATACAAATTGAAACAATTAATAAAGAAAAAAGGGTAGAAGATGATGAAGATGATGATGATAATAATGATGATGATGATGATGATGACGATAATAATAAGGATGATGGTGATAGCGGTGGTGGTGGCGGTGATGGTGATGGTGACAATGATGAAGAAGATGAAAATGAACATGAAGAACAAGAAATAATTAGAAATATTAGTGTAAGTGTTGTTGAGGACCGGACGACAAATTTTCAGTTAAGTCATAATATTGAATCGAAGAGTAAAGAAAACGATGAATCAAAAGTTTCCAAAACGATTCGAGAGAATGTAGCATTTAACGAAACTTATGAAGTACCACCATTAGTTATTAATAAATTCGAACGTCCTAGCGCAATTATACCTAGTAGAAAAAACACATTAAAAGACGTTGAATTGTTAAATGTATTGAGTGGTAGTCCACGATTATCAAAGAAACAACATACATTAATGTCATCTAATTCAATAGATGAAATGAGACTATCAAGAAGACGACATAGTTTGAATTTACAATCTCAGAATAATTTTTCTGATACTCTTCTTTTAGAACCTAAATCGTTTATGACAGTTAATTCGAAATTTAAATCGAAAAGTACAAGGACGTTAGAAAATAATGAAGAAACTAGTAGGAGTTCTACAATGTATAGTAGAACAACAAATAATAACAGTATAATTAGTACGAAACGTAGACATAGTACGATATCGTCTCAATCGGTAACAACGGTTGTCTCAGAATTAGAAGAATCATTGCAAGAACCATGTTTGAAAAGAAGAACGCGTTCAGAGGATAGGCGAGGTCCTCCCATTGATGAAAATAATCCAGCTAATCAAACCATGGAGGATCCAAATAGTCGTTTGAGTTGGCCTATTACTGATTCTTCTATAAATGGTAGATCATCAGGTGGAGGAGGAAGTTCTAGTACTGTTTCAGTACAAGAAAGACGATTATCTTCGCCAAATACTTTCCAAAGAAGAAGCTTGGGGAAAAAAGCAACACCGACTAAAAGTATTAGGCGATCTTCTATAAATGGTTCTGCTCGTTTACAACAATTAAGAGGTATATTTGGATTCAGAGATTGGGATCAAGGAAGAAATAATAGATCTAACGGTTGCAATGACAGGAGGTTAAATCGTACTACAGGTATTATTGGACCATTGGATTCTGGAATACCACAACGTTGGCTTAGGTTTGTCTTTGCTATTTGTTGGAAATGCCCTTTGCATCTCTCTTTCTTTCTTTATCTTTACAATTATTATTTAAACAAATGATTTGTTTCAACAGATCAGACACAATGGCTGCAACACCGGTTAAAACATTGCGTTCACGTAACGTCGATATTACTGGTCACACTATTTCTGCACAATTAGTTCATCATTATGGAGTAGTTAAGCAGAATCGTTTATCTTTACCCACCAAATTAAAGCACTCCAATAACAATGGAGTATTACAATCTAAGAGGGTAAGGTCTGCTTCTATGTCATCTAATAAATTTAAACAAACAGGTACTAGTGGTACAAATGTAGGAACATGTTCTACAATGAACAGTACAAGTACAGGACCAAATAATGGTTCTGGTTTAGCTAAATGGGTTAAATCTCTATGTAATCCTAGTGCAAGATCATTGAGTACACGATCTCGCATCAAGCGCCTTGGAAAATGAAATTGTATAATATATAACTTTCCCTATGCTTTTCTTCACTTATTCAATTATTATTATTTTTTTTTTGTATTTTCTTTACCTAACTAAGTTTTTTCATCCCTCTTCTCACCACTCAGATTATTTTTACAATACAAACAAATGAGTACCAATTCAAATATAGCATTTTATATTAATACTATAACCGTTATATGACATGGATTATAGATACACCAAGGACTTTGTTCGTACGTTTTTTTTTACTGTATTTTTGTTTTACGAAATTGCACTTTATAAGATTCGAATATTAGTTACTATAATGATGTAATCATACTTAAGTAAATACACAAACAACAAATCTATATAAACGTAATAATAACATTAAATAGATGCAACGTTTATATGCATCATAATAATTGCTGAAACAACTATACATTTTTTTCTTTTTCATTCAAATTTCAGAAATAGCAAGATTTTTATTTTTATTATAATAAAAGCGGTTTTTTTTCTTTTTACACGATTCACATATGTTTAATTATTAATAAATTCAATAACAAGTAGAAAAGTGCATGATGACTAGGATAAAATACATTTGGAAATTACATTCTGTATAAGAAGCAGGATGCATAATTATTAATAGAATGTTTTTTATGTTATTTTACAAAAAAAAAATAGATACTATTTCAATTATTTTTTGTTTTCCGATTGAAGTTCATCTGTTTGTTTCTTATTCATATCCAATAACGATTAGTTCTTTCAGCAATACAAATATATTAGAATGTTAATTAAAAAGTTTTACATACTTTTTATCCAGTTAATATGTTCTTTATTTGCATAAAATAGATTATTAACAGGAAACTTGTATGATAATCAAATCTGCAAAAGTGAAATCATTAGATAAATTATAATGACCGTATGAACAAGTTATGGCTTTTGCAAAATATCGTTATTTATACAAAATTATTAGTTAATATAAATACAATTTTGATGTGAAATGAAAAATTTAATAATATTTAATTATTACTTTATCAGAGTAAAGATAAAGAAAAATGAAAAAAAAAATGTTTGCAAAAGCATTTAAATTTGAAGAACACGAAGAAAGGTTTAGAAACGTTTTACGAGAGAAGTGATACAAAATTTAGAGAAAAGATAATTTGTTAATTGACATGTGCCTATAACAGTTACCATTTTAACATACGTGTACAGTACATTCACATACCATGCACTTATGTATATAAAAATAAAAGTAAAAAAGTTATATGTATATATATATATATATATACATATATATATTAAAACAAAAGGATTTAAATCCTTGCATCGCTATCATGTTTTGTTTTCTTTTATTTTTAATGAATAATAATTTTTCCCAAAAAGGTTATAAGAACCAGTATAAAAGTGTATGATTCTAAGTTTTATAAAAAAAGGTTGTTTTCTAGTATGTGTATGTGGTGACTGTTGCATAACTGTATATAAATGTA